TCGATCGTCTCGTCTCTCCTTGAAGAAGGCCCATGACCAGCGACGATTACGTTCATGAATCTTACTCAAGATAGCACTACCAGCAAACTTGAACCAAGCACGTGGATCCTCCTTTGGCCGAACTCCTTTCGGTTGGAATTTCTTATACTCTTGATGAAGGAGGAAATAATGGAATAAGTCGACCATCATCAAAGCATCTCGATATTGATGATCGTCAAGAACCACTCCAATTTCGTCGAACAAAAGCCCAGCCTTCATATGCGGTATTTCTATCTTACCGCTCTTGTCCATCTCGAGCTTCATCTGACCACTAACAGGCTTTAAAATAAACTGATGATTGGCTTGTTTTGCATCTTCACCTCGCACAATCATCTCTTTGAACCTCGTCAACATTTCATCGTGCGATGCGACCTCCGGGGATGTAGATACCTCCGCCTCTCTCCCAGTGCTCAACAATTCTGTATCCGTATTCCAGTACACAGCCAAGGCACCAAGAGTAGCAAGCTTATGTGTAGTTCCAGAAGAGTTTTGTATGTATGTCGGCTTCCAGTTACCATCCGTACTGATGGCACTGAACTCTTGCAATGTAAGCCCGAGAGCAAATGGGTGACCAGGTGCCGAAATTGAGTCCTCATATCGTACGTGAATATTCTTGACCGTGATTTGGAGATTGTCGATAATCTTGGTAACCAAACTATCCGTAAAGCTCTGGTTCTTCTGCTGTTCTTCCAAACTCATCCCCTCTTGATTTCTATCTTTCAGCATCTCGGCACTGTCCAATTTCTCGATCTTAACCACCTGCCTCCTCCTCTCCTCTTCCTCTTCATCCCACTCTGCATCTTCTTTCGGTGATGCGAGTACATATATATCTTCGATTTCGACTTGTACAGGTTGACCCCGCAGATTCGACCATGGGATCTTCAAGGTGAGTTGTCCCAAATGTCCCTCCACCACATTTATAGGTAACTTTAGTTGATCCAAGGCCTCCCGTCGTAGCTCCAAATCTCGCAGCTTAACATCTCCCGACCAGATTCCTACTTTCAGTTGTCCAGGATCGAAATTCCGTATGTACATGCCCAGAAATCGATTCAGCAACGATGCAACCAAACCTTCCAACATCTCGAGTTCCTATTGCCGTCACCCGGGCCGGGAAGCTCTAGATTAATTTGTTCGACGAATGATGGTTGGCATCCGCGATGGCGAATTTGCGAAGATTATTGTGGAAAGGGTGAATTTACGATCATTTAATCCATCACTTTTGAATCGAGACGTTCTTCGTTCTTCGTGGCAGAACACGATTCGATCTATTGTATTGATGGTGGTGGTGGTGGTGGTGGTGGTGGTGGTAAGAGATACTAGGTATCGTATGAGAGGGGTATTCAAAAATCGCCCCCAGCTGCAGTGTCCCACTGGTTTGTGTAAATATTTTGGAATAAAACAAAAAAATAGCACGCTCAATAAAGGCAGTCACGAAGGAATAACGAATTATTGGAATGATGTACGATACGATGGTATCATGTTAGAAGTCACCTTGAATAGAACTGAAGATCACAATCATAATCCATACATGATGATAATGCCACGTAAAATCGATTCCCAGAAAAGATTAAACCTGCAATCCTTCCTTCCAACCCTTTGAACATCCCATCCCGTCCATCTAATTGTATGGATTGTGTTCATTGGTGCGCAGACAGAAAGAAGAAGGCTTGTCTTGTCACTGTTCGCTAAGCTGACCTTGCATAAGTTGCATTCTCTCTGGTGGAGTTTGGAGAAACACACGACAGGGCACAATTGCACACAGTTGCTCACAAGCTCAAGTTATCAAGCTCTCAACGATGACGTATGAAAAGATCTCTCTCTTCGCATTTTGTTCCATTAATTACGAAACAACTATCTTCGGGATCCATTATCCATTATTCATTATCCATACCGGTATCATACTTTTCGCGGCAATCGATCGAATATCAATTTTATCTATCTAATATCTATCTAATATGTAACTGTCCCACACTGGCCAAAAGCCAATAATAATAACTGCCTCTATTCAGATTTCCCGGTTTGTTTTCTCTCGGTTTACTAATTACCTAGAGAGTTAGACTACAAGTACAAGTACGGATTTTCCAAACAATCCATTATTCTTTCCATTCCTATCCTCTCTCCGAATTTTCTCTCATACACACGCTTGCAGAATACCTCCTTCTTGATTTATTGAAATTGTCATTCAAGATACTGTTCATTCAATATACCCATTTGTGTCTTACCAATTGCATTCTTGAACATCTCACATAAATAAATAATCGCGGGGTAAGGTGTTGTAAAAACCAAAGCCATGCTTCGCACAACAGCTACACGCTCTCTCTTGAGGAGCTTCACAAAATTTCCCACCTCTCGAGCAAGCTATTCTCAAGCTTCTGCAGCTCTCAAAAATACTTCTTCTTTCCGCACATCCATTTCCAAACGCCCTGCAACCCTCTCTTCCCGTCTCTTCTATGCCACCAAGTCCGAACCTCCCTACGTCCCCGACCAAATAAATTTCAAAGAAGAAGATAGGATCGGAAAACAAACAATCGAAGCACATCCCGAGTCCGTATCATCACATTCCTCCGTTCGTCCCGTATTCGAAGAACATCCACATCACGAAGGTCATGGATCTGTAAAAGATGACTTGGAGACTATCAAGGAAACATTTGCTCTGCGAGAAGTACCCAAGGAATCTCTGATAATTGGTGCTGCGGGTGTTTTACCTTATGCTGCTACATCGGCTTCTACAGTGTATTTGGCTTATGACATCAATCAAGCGCATGCCACTGGACATGGTATCTTGTTCTCACCCGAAACGGCTCACCAATTGTTGGAGTATATTACACCTATTCAAGTTGGGTATGGTGCTGTTGTAAGTTCTTTCCCCGATTCTAAATCACCAAACTATGACTAACTTGATACATAGATTATTTCCTTCCTCGGTGCAATTCACTGGGGTCTTGAATACGCAGGTTACGGCGGACATCAGAGTTACCGTCGATACATGATCGGAGTTGTTGCTCCTGCAGTCGCATGGCCTACTATCCTGATGCCAGTAGAATACGCATTGATTACCCAATTCACCGCTTTCACATTCCTCTATTTCGCAGATGCCCGAGCAACAGTTCGAGGATGGTGCCCTCCTTGGTACAGCACATATCGATTTGTCTTGACATTTATCGTGGGAGCGGCAATTGTGGCAAGTTTGGTCGGTAGGGGAAGAATTGTCAGCCATGATAGACAATTGAGAAGTGCAGTTGACTATATTAAGGAGGATAGAGATGGTCAGTGGATTGCATTGGAGCAGGAAGAAAAGATGAGAAGGGCAAAGCTGGCTGAAGAGGAGAAGGCAGACGAGGAGGAAGAGGCACAAGATGAATCCGGAGATGAGGAGGAAACTGATAATGAAGATGAGAAGAAGGATGAGAAGAAATAAATCACCATCCCGGACGATTTGTACATACCTACCTTTCTCTCCACCTGCCTTCATCATCCCCTTTTCCCCAACCAATTAATGTCTGATATTACTTCAGCTTCAATTCGGTCTAATCCATTTCCTGCAGAAGTATTTCTTAGTATTTAGCAAGTTAGCAAATCTAAAATAATTACAACAAGATTCTCATCACCATATCGTAGCCCAGTGAGATATCTTCTACCCTTATCTACGTCTTGTTTTACTCAGACTCAAATCTCTTCCCCGATTCCCAATAGCGAATATATATTCATTCCATCTAAATTCGGCATATCGTCGTACAACGAGACGTGCAAAAGTTCTGGGCTAAAATGATAATGCATATAACATATATCCAGGTGGCTATAGTCATACGGGAAGTGAAGAGGGATTCGTGACATATACATATATCTCATCTTTCTATTCCGAGAGTCCAGGGAAGTAGGTAGGTAGGTAGGTATAGAAGCTGGAGAGCTATGAAATGATTTAGAGGTAGAACTATTAGGTAGTCAAAGTATCTGTGAAATCACCATTTCGTCACTAACAATTCGTTTGTAAGATTTACAAAGTCTAGAGTTTATTAGAGTAATGGGTAATCCAGATATCTAAAAATCTGAGTATCTAAGTAGGTACCAAGTATCGAACAGGCATTGAATGGAATGCCCGCGTAAGAGTAATTCGAATTCGAGATCTCCATTCATTCAACAGCAGCAAGATCCAGATTTTCGAGGACTTTCACTAATTACAGCTATCTGAATCGGAATTTGGATTCGAAAGTTTCTGGCTTGTTGGATCGGATCGCAATATAATATAATACAATATAACGTAACAACACAACCCGAAACTCTGAGGAATTCTCATGATTAAGCGGATGATTGACTGATTGATAGATAGATTGATTGATCTCTAGGTAAATCACTATTCTTGGTATGGAAATCCACTACTACTACTACTACTACTACTACATAGGTAGAGATAGTAGATATAGGAGATATAGGAGATATAGGAGATATAGGAGATACCAAGTCACCAGGTAAGATACCGATTAATACATTCTCTTCGAGAAAGGCTACCGGTATATCAATCAATCTCAATCTCAATCTCAATCTCAATCTCAAGTATCACTTTTGGTGCTTGGAACTAAAAGTAATAATGAGGAATCTACGAGTATGCAGTGAGAGTTTCTTTTCTTATGTTATTATAACAATAACATTCATGATGTAAAAGAGATTTCTTTTTTAAAAGATTTTTTAAAAAAATTAGATATCCGATATAATTGCATATTGGGATTTTAGATAGGTATCGAGTTTTCACTGTGTATGTATGTATGTACACGCACGAAGGAAATGTGCCTATGAAGACGAGCGGGAGCAATTTCAATCGGGAGCAAGGGATCAACTTGAATCTAACATGTTTGTTCACTGCATCACTCGAACTTGAAAGAAGAATGTATACTGAGGGAAAAGATCTGGACTACACAAGAAAGAATGTCACATCACATCACATCAAGCTCGAATCACCTATTACACCTTTCCAATATCTGATTAATTTTGATTGTAATCACCAAGCAAAACTCGGATGAAAGAGGACCATAACAAGGCCCATAACTATCTAATGAAATGTGATTCAAATTGAATCGATGTGGTATGTTATGATATGATACATCAATGCAGTCCCATCTGCATGAAATTTTATTCGAGCTCCCGACTTTCCGGTTTGATTGTCTTGCTCAAGCAGAACCAGACCTATCAAACCAAGTCAAACCAATCTAGTTCCCAGCACATCGCCATTTGTAGATTACCTAGCATGCCTCTCCTATTCATCAACTTTGTGTCATATTTGAATCCCTTATTCAGTTTTGGATTTTTCTTTTCAAATCTTCGTTGCGCTGAACTGTCGCTTAAGTCACAATGCAAATGCTGAAAAATCCTCCGCGGGTGACCGACTGATTTATCTCAATGTTCAATCCCATCTATATCCACAAGAGGGGAAGTGAAGGAAGAAAGAAAATAGAAAATAAGGCCTAGAATCTTGAAGTGATATCAAGAGGTATGAAGTGAAATGATGTAGTGATTTTCAAAAAAACAAAAGGTAATGGCAGTCATCATGCATGATGATATGATGATAAGGACGAAATGAGGAACTTCAAATGGTGTTTACCATTCGTATTCTCCAGTTGCTTTGTGGAATACGTATTCCTTGTTATTGACAGTGAGTACACCATCCTTCATGACGCACTTCCTGTATAATTGGTTAGCACGTGTACGATGGAAGGAATACAGGATTCATACCACTTGTTCTTGACTCTTTGGACTTTGTCATACATGCAAAGCATAATATGACCCATACTCTCGTCATCGTCATCATCGTCGTTTAATCCGTCGTCAGGATCATCTAAATCAGAATTGATTGCATCTTCATCTAATTCATCCTTAACCTTTTCGTCATCATCATCAGAGCCAAGACCGTCTGTTTGTGGCAATGAGCCTGGTAAGGTCTTACGTTGACGCTTGGTTGAAGGGATCTTATTGGCTTCCTTGAGTGGAAGCATTAGACCACCACCTTCCATAGCCTTGCCCATGGATTCGATCTTGCTACGGATGAGATTGTCAATCTCGATTCGACCCATGGCAATTTCATTGCCTTGGGAATCAAATTGTTTGATAACTCCAATAGATTCATCAGTCTCATCGCCAGCCCCGTCAGTTTGTGCACCTCCAACACCACCTTGAGGATTCTGTTGGGCCTGGGGGGCTTGAGGATTCTGACCATTCTGACCATTTGGGGGGTTTTGAGGATTCTGAGGGTTCTGAGGAGCTTGACCGTTTTGGAAAGCTCTCTGCTGTTGTAACTGCTGTAACTGCTGTGCTTGTTGAGCTGCAACACTCTGTCTATAAGCCGCCGCAGCTTGTTGACTTTGTTGGCTTGGCGGACCCTGAGGTTGTCCTTGTGGCTGTTGTGGTTGAGCTTGGGGAGGAACACCACTGCCTGGTCTCTGTTGTTGCTGTTGCTGCTGCTGCATCGATTGCATTTGCAAATGTTGTTGTTGCTGCATCGCTTGATGCTGCTGTGGACTCATTTGAGACATGGGTTGCTGCTGGGGTGCCCCACCTCCTTGAATGGATTGAATTGAAGCTGCAGCTCTATGTCCATAAGAAGCATGAAGATTTTGAGCAGCACGTTGCTGAGCTGGTGTAGCATTTGGCATAGTCATAAGAGGACCCTGAGGAGGTGCCTGTGACATAGGAGACGGCATGAAGCCTGCATTCTCCATACCAGGTTCAGCCTTGACACGAGGTCCATTTGGCATTGGAGTTTGATATATTGGCTGTCCTGGAGGGATACCTGTATGTTGGTAATTTGAAGGTACCATTGGTGGATTTTGCATAGGTTGCTGGTCAGGCTTTGGATCCCATGGAAACAGAGCAACACCCAGTGTTGACAACTTCTTTTGCCATCCCTTTGAAAATGATGTATTAGCAAGATTGTTTATCAATTTATCTAAGAATAACAAGAGCTTCGGTGGAGAGCTTAAAAAAATAAAATTGCAGGACTATAAGACTACGTGCAAGGACAATGATGACCTGGACTGCTCCATGTGTACTTCCATGTACATCCATGTCCAAGAAGTGCCACGTGATGTAACAGACGAAAAGAGACTAGCTCAAGAAAAGTGTTTTCACAACCGAGAGGCTGAGGTCAAGGGTATAAAGCCAAATACAGAGGATCGCCCACCCCAAAAACTGGCCCGACTGTGCACAGGCAGCAATCAAGCAGCAACAGAAGAAAACCAACGAAACCAGCAACAAAGATTCATATCAGAGCAGAACCCAACAAAATGACATGCCAACGAAATCAGGACCATTCGGAAATCAAATAGTCGTTCACGAAGAAAAAGAAATAAAGAATCTCATTGAAGATCTCATGAAATGCGCCATCGCAGAATCCAGAAAGTTGATAAGGGACTCGGAAACATACCTTTCTCAATTCCTCCAATACAACCTCATCGACTCCACTCTCCTCGAAGTCAACTCTAGAGCTATCGACTACATCTGCAATAATCTGCTGGTAAACATTTCCGACCTGAGTGTTCGACATCTTGTTGCTTGCGTTGCTTGGGTATAATGGAAGAAGTATCGGTCGTGTGCGCAAATGGGATTCGTCTTCAGCTCTCTCTTCAACGATCTTATTCTTTACACGCGAGTAATCGAATTTGCAGATATGGCGCTATCAATTCGTATTACTCAAATATCATAAATCGGAGATCGAAAGCTGTGGAAAGAGGTAGGTGTTGGAAAGTTGTTGATGGAATTGTACTATTTCCAACTTGTGAAGACGGTCAGTCGTTGACTCGCAATAGTAATTGCCCCCTCCACACTTATTTTCAGATTCGTAAATTTGTATGCCACTTTTTGATTGACTTAAGGATCTTCTTGACTATCTTATGTAACTTTGTAAACAAATTAAATGGAATTCTGAAATGTAAAGTGATATTGCTCTGTCCTGGCTTGTGGAGTTGTATGGGGGAAGGTCGCTTTCGTAGAGATATGGATAACCTTAGCCCGCTTTCGCTTATATAATGACTTAAGAGAGTCTTTGCCTTTCTCTTTATTTCTCTCCAATTGCTTGTTACAAATCGACAACAAATTCATTCATAATTATTGAATAATTGAGATTCACTCCCAAAAGCAATGAGAGGAGATTGATCTTCAGAAACTAATCTAATTGGGCTACGGGATCTCTACAGTTGAGATGATTGGCTGATTTACTTGCTGCTTCCATCGCATGTCTGAGACTTGAGTAGCCAGTCTTCATTTGAAGTCTAGAGCATTTTTACAACGGGAAGATGAATCAATTCAGTCACGTTTCATGTTGTAATATTCAATTGGTTCAATTAATTTACATTTCCTAACAAAAATAACTAATACAAAGTCCCATCCGAAAAAGGTGTACGCCATAAAAGCACCAGAGGTATCCATTCATCCATCGTCAAAGCATCAACTTGCACCAGGTGAAGCACTTTCTGCCATGGGCATTGTGAAGATCGAAATCCACCAAACACCACGCTAAAACATCCCAATTGCTAAAATGCTATTATGGAATTTGCTTTATACTTTACCTGTGGCTCCAAGAGCTATTCTTGACCTATCTATCTGATAGTCATTTGCTTGACCATGTCGGCCTTTCCTGATGCACCAGCTGATGCGGATGCACTTGGGCCAGTCTTCTTCTCGAAAACCTTCCAGAACTTCAAGCTCTCATCAGCAGCTATTGAGTGTTAGTAAATATCAATTTATAGATGGAAGGAGTAACTTACCAGCTGTGGCGAGCATTTGTCCATCTGGGCTGAGACAGCTGTGGAGGACTCTGGTCTCGTGGGCTGGAATCTCAACATTGCGAACCAAAGTAGGGTAGCTCCAGATGCTGATAGAGTTGTCTGGGAACCCACTGGTGCTGACAATCTCGCGGTAGTGAGGGCTCCATCGGAGACTAGTAACTTGGGAGCCAGTGTCGATGCTGTTAACACGTGCACCGGTGGTGGTGTTCCAGAAGTGGATGTGACGATCATATGATCCACCACCAGTAGCCAAAACGTTTGGTTGCCATGGGCACCAACTAAGAGCCTTGACAGCGGCCTTGTGGTTGGTCTTGGTGAATTTAGGAACAGCCAAGGAACGAGCATCCCAGATAGAGACCAAGTTATCGTTGCCACCAGTAGCAAGTTGAGCACCATCGGCGCGCCATTCCAAGCCGCAAACTTCGGAGGTGTGAGAAACCAACTCAGCAACTTTGTGTTGAGCGATGCGAACATCGTGGTTGTATACAAGGCCACTTCGTGCACCAGTGGAAAGAGTGTGCTTGTTCCATCCCATTACACCAACACGAGTATCATGTCCGTGCATGCTTCTGAGCTTGGTACCTTCTTCGACATCCCAGATTTGAACCTCTCCGGAACCGAGACCAACACTGACATATGCTCCATCACCGGACCACTTGACACTGCTAACATAGGTATCTGGACTAGTTTCAAGAAGAGAGCTGACAGTACCAGACTCGGCAGACCACACATATACGTTGCGTTCAAGACCAATGGCAACTTGATTGTTGGAGCTCCAGTCGAGGAGGTTCAAGTAGTAATCGTCGACGAGACCAGGTGCATCCAAGACACGCTCGGGTGCAGTTGCAATGCGGCGTCTGAATTGGGCAGCGGAAGCGTTGGAGTTTTTAAGAGGGCGGTTGTATTGAGATCGGAGGTCAACAGGCTTTGAGGATTCAGGAGCAGCAGGCTTGAATGCGAGGATTCTTTGGCCTTGAGAAATACCACAGGCAGATGCCAATGAGTCTTGGTATGCAATGGTATTTGGTGATGGGCGGGAGTATGAAGCTGGCTCTTCTTCGTCATCAATGGTTAATGATTCAAGAGCAGCGAGAGCATCACCGGCACCTGATGCGAGAACTGAAGAACTTTCATTGATGCTCTTTGGTCTTTGCTTCTCGGCAAAGTCGGCTTTTCCGCAGCCAGCGGTTGTGATGGCTGAGCTTGCAGCACGGTCTGGAATAAATCGATCGCCAGAGTAGGAGACAGTAGTCTTGGTAGACTTTGAGCGGATTGGACCTTTTCTGGTTCGTGTAGCGACAGGAGTCTTACATCCTGTACCAGTAAGAGCAAAGTCAGAGACACCGAGCTCAAGAGCATGTCGAGGAGTTTGAACACCCTTGGCAATGTTGGATTTTGGTGAGTCGCGGTGAGACTTTCTGGAAGACTTTGCGAAATGTGATGTTAAGTTTCCACCGTATGTTGACTTGGATGATAATCGTACATTCTCTTCAGATACCTTTCTCTCGGGTGGAGTAAAAGGAGATGAGTTATTGGTCGAGAGAGTTTGAGTGCGTGTACGAGGAGATGGGGTCAAAGGCATACGTCCGCCAGCGGTGCGTGTGGAAAAGAGCCCAGTATGGGACTTAATGGGGGTTGATACTGCGGTGGCCATTTTGCAATATCAAGGTATGATCTCGGTCGAAAGACAAATTAATGAATCGATCGATGATAGGAGTAGATTCGATATAACGAACGAGCTCCAAGAGACTCAACCTAATGGTTCCTGGTAATTGTTTGGGGTTAGTATAATTCGTATTTGTGCTCGATATATCGAAAAGTTCTTCTATATAAGAATGGCTTAAGAGTCGGGTAACGATCAATGGCGTGCGGCAAAAAGATCTAATAGACTTGAAGTATTCTTGTAATTGAAGGTATGTTGTTTTATGTTTTGTATGTTATGTGATTATGAGTGGTGAGAATGAAGATGAGAGGTAGAGGTACGGAAGTATAGAGAGATTGCAAATGTTGCATGAAGGAAGAAAGAAAGTCTTTGAGAAGGGAATATTCAAGAGCTTTTCTACTCGTTTGTTTACTCCACTGAATTAGTTTGGTTGTGAGGGGCAACCATCCCGCAACGATTAAAAACGTAAAAGTCGAACCTCAGGCAATAACTTAGCACTGTTTGCAATCGTGAGCCACAAATCCCAGAGCGCGTATATTAATTCCGACCCGCCGACCCACCTGCAGCCCCATGGACTCTTTCCAAAATACTTCAGATGTTCCATCTCATCGTCACCCGTGCATGATTTTTATGTATATTGAGGTCGAAGAACCATGAAAAGTCAAATGCTATCAAGTACATCTTGAATTGCCATTTGAACTGTACACACCGTAAAATACAATTCATACAATCGTCCTTGTCTCACCAAACAGGAGAAATCCCCATCCTGCTTCTTTGACTTCTTTTGGTTTGATCTGTTTGTCCGCCATTTTCTATTCGTCTGGGGAGTTTGTGCACATTCGCACAGCATCAACTCTTTTTATTAACCAATCTAGCATGACCACATAGGATACCACCTCTTATTATGGCTCAGCCTTCTACACCCGGCGGTACACCCTACTCCATCTTTGGCCCTGGCTCTTCTACTCCTACCCATACCAATCAACTTTCGGGAGGTCCTCCTGCCACTCCAGGTGCCGCCCCTTCAAGCAATACTTTCTTAATGCCGAATTCGCCCGTGAAGAATAGATTGGGTATGGATGGGTATAGGCCCAAGGTTACAAGAACTCTTGGTCAGGTAATTCATAAAACTCTCGACACTTTGCGGACTATTTCCTAACCCATGTTCGAACTCATATAGCGCCCAGCCTGCCTTGTCAATGCCTCTGTTACGTATTGCGGCAACAATCAGATATATGCCTTTGGTGGTTTCGATCAGTATACCGACGAGGTCTACAACCATGTTTTGAGACTTGATCTAGTTAGTCACCAATGGAACTTGGTCGACAATTATGGCGACATTCCCGGTGTACGAATGGGTAGGTCTGATATGTGCTCAATGCGTTCACAGTTCTAACAAGCCTTACAGGTCATACCGCTACACTCTATCAAGGCGAGAAACTACTCATATTTGGTGGTGAAAACGAACATCGTACATACCTCTCTGACCTCATCATTTTCGATCTCAAGACCGCACACTGGACCCAACCAACTGTATCTGGACCTATACCAAAAGGAAGAGCAAGACATGCTGCTGTTTTGCACGAGGATAAGCTATTTATCATTGGTGGTATTACCGGTCATAATAATTATGTGTTGGATGATATTTGCTACCTGGACTTAAAAACCTTTACTTGGTCTCGAGCATGGCGTTTCGTTGGACGATTTGATCATTCGGCGTATTTATGGGGAGATAGAGTTTGGGTCTTCGGAGGTCTCAGCGAGGATATGGATAAGATAGGTGATGTATGGTGGTTGGACTTTAAGGGTAGCCCAGCATTCGAATCAGCACCTTCGTATGGTTCCATGGACAGGCATGCAGCTCTCAGTCGTTCCCCTCGGCCTTCGTTTTCAATGTCTCAGTCTGCTGTAGGCAGCTCAGGTTATGCCGCAAATTCAAGCAGCGCACAGGTCAATCCACCGTCATTTCAATTGACTACTTCTCCTCCTCTTGCTCCTGGTACAATTTCTTCGTTAAAATTCGTATCCGGTCCCAATATACCCGCCCAAGGCTCCGGTATGCATTTCCATGTTTATACATCCGGGACTCTTCTCGATTTCGTCACTCCTGCAGCAACAATAACACCACAAGAGTGTTCTTTATCATCTCTGGAATTGGACACATTGCGTTGGCAAAAACTTGCAGAAGGCCGAGATATTTTCAGACCAGGTTATAGATGGCATTACTGTACTCTGAATGACGAGGGTACAAAGGCTTGGCTTCTTGGTTGTCCAACTGATCCAACAGCAACAGATTTAGGTCCAGGTGGGTTTGAAGAATATCTAAGGTATGTGGCCATTTACTCATTTTTAAATAACAACTATTGCTGATCATTCCTTTTTTAGTGATATAATGGAGATTGATCTTCGACGATATGGTTTACTCGGCAATGGTTTAAATCCCGAGCCTCGAGAAGAAGCTTCGCGATTATCATCCTCTGGTAGAATGAAAGTCGAAACCTCAAAAGGCCTTGGTATGGATTTAGCCAAAGTTTTCAATCAAGCACCAGAAAGTGGTAGTGGGGCAGATTTTATCATCACTGCGTCAAAAGATGATGAGTGGGATGAGGATGATTCAAGCTCCAGAGGTTCTATCAGTCAGGTTCAACAAAACTGGTTAGCTCCTGATGCACCAACATCTCCTCCAATCCATGTCCACAAACTCATTCTCCAAGCTCGATGGCCCCACTTTGCACGCTTATACAATGCGCAAATGGCAGAATATCATACAAAGAGAATGCACATACCAGAGCCTTATCCAGTGGTCAAGGCATTTTTATACTATCTGTATACTGACAGTATCCACCCAGATGACTGTGCAGAATTAGATGACGTTGCAGGGCTTTTGGTCATGTCAAATATCTACAACATTCCACATCTTAGATTGTTATGTGTTAATCGCTTATCGAAGGAATTGGATGTCGATCACGCATGTGTTATTTGGCATTCCGCTGGTATTGCTAACGAAGAATGGTTACGCAGACGTGCTGCCAGTTTTTGTCTCACGCATTGGGGCAGAGTTGTTCGCACGCCCGGATTTTTAAGACTGCCACGCCAAGCCTTGGTTGATTTATCGCAGGAAATTGATATGGAAGGTCGTGTTGTAGGAGGTGAGCATACTTTTTCATGTCGAAGATTTTACTGAACACTCTTAACACAAATTTTTAGGTGAAGAATTAGAATTTGTTGGAGGACTTGGTGGCTCTCGTTTTGGTGTAGGTGGTGTGGTTCGAAAGACTAGTGTTAGTAGCACTCATACACAGGGTGTAGGTTCTGAAGTTGATGACAATGAAGAAATGGAAATGAATTAATGAAACGAAATGATATGGTATAAATAAGATTCAAATTGGGTCCATATTGTGGCTGGGCGTTGGCTACTTGCACATTTTGCATCGGGAATGTCTAATAGGCACGACAAGGAAGGAAAGGGAAGCATTATTAGGCGCCTGGATCCTTGCTATTATATTTGGTAGTTTTCAGTAGGGAATATAGAGATACCATGTTACGACATTAATATTATTATGAAGTAAATGATAGCTTTGAATGTGCAAAGTGAGGTGACGATGAAGTGGCCTTTGGTGCTGGAGCCCTCGATGAAAGGTTCTTTAGTGGCTTTACCTGCACTTTGGTGTCTACTTCCAAATTTGAAAATAAAATAATCGTCTAGGTATCTGTAGTTCAGCTATAGGCCATATCGACCTCGTTTGGTTTATGAAGTTACAACAATTTGATTGTTCAAAGTCAACTCAACTCCGCATATAAAGATTACTACAAATTCAACCTTGGCTATTAGATTATGAATTGATTGGCCGTATCACTTGTTGGGATCCAGGAACAATCAGAGTTATAATCGGTGGGTGCATGGACTAGAAAAACACTCCTCAAATTTACAACAGCCGTAATTCGGACTTTACCAAATTCTCTTGGGAATCATGCATCTTATTGTTGGATCTGTATTGAATTAGTGGGAATAATCTCGAATTTTTAGGGAAGCATTGAATGTATTTCAAAGGACCTCGAGTGAACTCTCGAGTTGTTTGGTGAGGGTTACTGTTGATACCCGTGGACCCGTGGACCTACTGGGTAGTGAGTGTGATATTACGTCACCTGAATGAACAAGTCATCGATGGGTTGAGTGTTAAGCGAGAAGATTCTATCTAGATACTTGAGGTTACACTGCACTCATGCATACATATAATATATTAACATTGAATTGGTGTATTGATATTGAGGTATTCTGTTTTAGAGTTACGGAGTGGTAAGTACGTAAGTATTGTATATAATTTCATGATAACTCTTGCTGGCTGATTTGTCGAAAATGAACCGAAGGTCTGTACTCATGATTGCTCTTGACATGTACCAATTCCATGTTTATAGCGCCACAACTACTGAAAGGTTTCTGTTGACTTGCAACGCGTGTTTGGATTTTGAAGTACAGACTAACTTTTCTCCAAATTGACAGTGGAAAAAATATGCGCTAGTCACTAGGTCGAATACCCTTGAAGAATATAGTAGTGCTGAATTGTGCAGTGGCACCTCATCTCTTATTCCTGAATGTCTCTTCTATCCAAATTTTCTCTCTACCGCTGCACAATCAGTACTCAGAAAAAATGGGGGTTGGAAGTCCCCTGTCTCGGCGATTTCGGACCCCCTTCCTCTCATTCCCATCCAGCTTCTTCCTCACTCCACCATTTCCCTGCATAATCCACGTTTGCTTTTCTCTTTCCTGCAAAAGTTTCTCACTCTCCTCGTTGTTCCTTCTCAAATTCCCCACTCGTTCCTCCAAACCACTTCGAGCTTCGCATCTATATATTCCAATATCCTCGCATCCTCTTTCTCCTTCTCGCCTCCGCTCCCCTCTCCATTCTTCTTCCAAAACCTCCTACCCAACCCCCGCTCCGCCTTCCCCACATCTCTCTCCCTCATCTTCTCTTCCAGGATCCTCTCCCCCTCTCTCACATATTCCTCTCTCTTCTCCTGCTTTTCCCAACATGCTGCACAGAGTCCATTCCCGCTCTTAATAACTCTTCGTTCATATCTGATCTTGTACGCTGGACATATATTCGTGCTATCGATATCTGTAGAAGTATCCTTAATAGGATTCGGACAGCGAATAATATATGGCCGCCAACTGTGTGTGCAGATGCTATAGCGGTAGGTTATGCTGCGACACATTTTACCAGGTGACGTTGTAATGGTCGATGGGGGATATAAAAGTAATGGATAAGTGGTTGTAAAGTGTTATGAGTAAATTGATATCGATTGAAATAATTGGTACTAGAAAGTGTTAGATTGAATCCTGTGCAAAGTGGGAAGAGGAATATACTGGATGTCTTCTGAATGTGCTAGTTCAGCTTTTGATTCCAAATAACACACTCGTATTCCTCTCCTCCTTTAAATTTCTCGTTATGTGATGTGTTCGATTTTCTTAAACTCAACTTTGAAGATCTTGTTGATATTGCACGGCGTATGCCCTTGCTGCACGCTTCAATTTATTCGTGATTTAGGATTCAATATTTTGCGTTCTCGTTTGTTGTCTCGGTTGCCCATAAACCACGTAATAGACGCTTCAAGTGTCCAAGTTATATAGCTCCTAGAGCAATCTTTCCAAGGATAATATATTCTTTAATAAGCGATTGATATCTCTGGCTATACAAAAGCTTCGCCGTACCATGGAAGGCAGTGAAGTATTCAGTTATCCGAGCCTTTGGATTGTTTGTCGTATTCACTGTTTATAACGCGGCTGAATGTATAGTACAAAAAATGATATGTGTCTGGCTAATGAGAATGAGTGAATATACGAGTATTCAGAACTATCATATATTAACTACGTCAGATATTATGTAAATAAGCAAGCAACAACCAAACCAAGAACCGAAAACTAAAAAAAAGTAAATAAACACACTCATCGTCTAGATTTACTATCACCATCACCATCATCACCATCACCATCACCATCATCACCATCACCATCATCCTCTTTCTCCTTCTTCTATACATCCCCCATGCAACAGGTACCATGCACTATGTTCCACCTCACATCCATACTCCTTTTCCCTCTAATCATCTCCCATCTCCCATCCCTCCCCTTCCCAACTCTCGTCTTCCCTCCACTTCCCCCATTCCCCTCCCACCAAAATCCAGCCCCCATCACAAACATATCGCAAGAAGAAAACCTTCCCAATTCAAATCCACAACTTGTTTCTTCCTTCCACACCTACTACATACATCCTACACTCCCATCCACTCTCCTCCTTTCCTTTTTTCTCATTTCCAACTTCCCATTTCCCATTTCCCCCTTTCCACACCAATCACCAATCACCCATCACCCATCACCCATCACCCATCACTCAAACTCAAACTCCTCACTCCTCACTCACCCCATCTCTCACAATCAACTACTCCAGAAAAGAAAAAAGGTATTCCCCGTCGACTCGATTCGGCTAAACCATCAAAAGCCAACTACAACTACCCCTACACCATTGAAAACGCTACAATAACATCCCATTCTTTTTACTCCTCACGAATTTTTCATAGAATCATAATCAAAATCCCAATCACAAAAGAGCAACTGTGAATAACATAACAGATCAAAAGGGAATAAATAATACACTAGGCTGTAGATACCAATCGATAGATAGCGTAATTCTACCTGATTCTCACATTCTTCACGTCGAAAACAAAAACAAAAACAAAAACGGATTCACATAGTTTGACGAAACATGGAAAATGAGAATGAAGATGAAAAAGACATATAAGATTCTTTCAATGGAGAGGAAGGAATCGCATGTGTTATTAATATTTCCTCTCCATCAATCTCTCTAATCCCAAAACTCTGGATATTATATCATATCATCCACGTCACATCCTATCATACAATCAACCACTCTACCCTCCACTTCCCCCCAATCCTAGCCACCCTACACCCCTATTTCACCCCACTCCACGCCATACCCAAAAGCACATCTCTCCCCTCCTCCCCCTCCCACTCAATCCCCACCTCTATTTTTCTCCCTCGCGCCCCCACGACTCTGCAACGCCACCAATCTCTCCCCCCTAAAATAAACCAACACACCTCCCTTCCCATTCCCCTGCGCCGTAATCCTATAAAGAGGTCCCGCACTATGCAACACCTTCTTCTCAGGAACAAACTGTAGATCATTCTCAATACACCAATCTTCCACTTTCTCCCTGAACGAGACTTCTTCCGAGACCTGTGCCTTTTTCGGTGGCTGCACGGTTGCAGGTTTGGGGGGGAGGGAAGACACCGATGGACTTTCTGGCGCGGGAAGATTTCCCACTTTCTCTCCCAGTCGCAACGCGTTCTTGATCATCTCATGTCCCTTTTCAAATTCTTCCTGTATCGCATTCAAGTCTTTGATTTCTGCTGGGAAAACCCCATCACGCCACCACTCAAACCATTGTCCAATTTCCTCATTCGGACCAACAATCGTGAGCCATTGATGCAACACATGATGCCACATCGGAAAGACCGTATCCACAACCACCTGTCCCACAACCCTCGGTTTCAGTATATCTTTCCAAGCGAGTACTCCTTGAAGACTGGACATATATGGAGACTGATCATTCGGATCGACCCTAAAATTCTTCTCATTTTTCAGGAATTTGGCCATGCTAGGAAGAACATGATTCATAATTAACGGGGTCCACGTATCATTCTTAGGACTAGGACACAGCACTTCGCGCCATTGCGAAAGACCCGGTATGACACCTCTATGGAAATCCCAAGAATCAATTAGATGTCTAAATTTGCGCTTGACGTCACTGACAAGACCAGTTGAACTTTTCGGATCGGCGTGATAGGGGGGTAAATGTTGTAGCCAGGGAAATAACCAAAGATGAGGCAATTCGTGATTTCTTCGCTTTTTTGGATTCCAGGATGAGACTGCATCATTAAGTCTTCCTACGATTGCCTGATCTAAAATCTGTGATGCAACAAACTTTGGTAATAATCCTTGCCAAGCATCTAAAAATGCCAGTACTGGGGCGGGATTGTACACATCCCAACTTTTATTGATAGATGATACAATTTTAGGGAAAATAATCTTATAGATCATACTTTCATAAGGAGTAGTCGATTTAACCCTATTCTTATGCGAGGTATTCATGAAAGAATCCTGACCAACAAGAGCCTTCTCGTTAGTCACGGCTCCTAAAACATGTCGAATTTTGTAAAGATTCGGAACCATCCCATTCAATTTGGGATCCTCAAGAGGTTGCCAACCTTCCGTAGCTTGACGAAGAAAGGGATGAACGGCAGCGACAGCAATATTTGACAATTCTTCATTAGCTCCAGATATGTCAAGCCCATCCACGGTTTTCAGTGCTTCAATTACTGGATCCCACTGCCCATCCTGTACAGCCTTGGCAATACCCTGAATGCTCTCCGCAAAAAGTTTCATTTGCTCATATTGCCGCTGTTCTTCATCTAGTTCTTGCTGTTGTTGAATGAGCTCCATTTCTGTATAAGCTTTCCTCTCCTCAAGATTCTTCCATTCTTCAACAAAGGCCGATAGATCATTCTGGGCTCTTCGAGCCAATTTCCTATTCTCGATTTGTTCCACGCTTTCTGTCTTTGGCGGTCCAGCAGTAGGAGTCAATATTCCAGATGTAGAAGTCAGTAATTTTTGACCGGGTCCAGTCATATCCAGAATCGGAGCAAATGCTTCCGGAATTTCCAAGCCAGGCGCAGCTCGTTGTACTTCCTCCACGGTTCGATACTTTGGCTTCGGTGCCTTTCGAGGAGTGCTCACTCCACTCATGCCACTATCCGTACCACTTGTCTTTGGCTTCCTCTTACGTTTCCTCCTCTCCTCATCAGAATCTTCGACTTTCTCCCCCCTCAATTTCGCTTGCCGTTTCTCCTCTTCTTTTTCTTGTTTCGATTTCTCAGCTACCGATCCCAAACCTACGCCTTGCGGTCGCAAAGTGACCTCAATAACACCACTTCGGCCCTGTCCCTCTTTACCCAGACCTTGTCCCTCTTTATAACCCATCTTAGCCATCATCCTCGCCGCAAATGACATCCCGTTAACCGGTGTCGCGCCACCACCGTGTTTTTTACCACCTCGTCCACTCGTGGGTGTAGAAACGCACTCGGCCTTGCGATCCTCGGTGTCTCTTGCTCATCGTCATTATTCATTAGTATAGGATTATTCGCCGAAGATGGCACAAAGCCCCGTCCCAAAGGCGTACTCGAATTCGAACCCAATCCAGTATTTTTCGATTTGCTCGGCGCTGGACTCTGAAATCCTAATCCCTTCCCAGGAGCACCAAATCCCAATTCTCGAGGCGCATTCGCTTCTTCTTCGTAATCTCCCATTTCTACATCTTTTCCCCCATTATTCGATCCCGTTTCGACGTCATCATCGTCATCGTCCTCGTCATCCTCATCGTCATCATCCTCCTTCCCTCCTCCAACCCTTTCACCCCCGCCACAAAACTCATCCCCTTCCCCCTCAAACTCTTCTTCTTCCACCTCTTCCCCGGACCCCCCTCATCCTCACTCTCACTCCCAAAAAACACCCAACGCCGCACTTTCCTTCGCATCCCTACCCGTGCGCCTTCGTTTCCTCGGATTATAATCTGCGAATTCTTCTCGAGGATCGGTTGATGGATGTAAAAAATCATTTTCATCACCCGAAGATTCGTCAGACGAATCGCGAGGGAATGCGTTCATAGACATTGTGATTTGAAGTGGGTAGTGAAGTTTGATTGTATGGAAACTCCCAACAGTCGTTTTATTTTGATGGTCATGGAAGGTTGAGATTCGGATGTGACAGCCTTGCTTAGTCAGGATGCTCTTGAGCGCGGTATCCATTGACATCTCCATCCGGCATAGCCCCAAATAATACTCCCTTGCAATCCCCCAGCATCAACACACGACCCTACTCCACTCCTGCCCTTTTTGAAGCGATAACGATTTCTCTATTTATCAAAAGGGGGGCGACAAGTTCCCATTTCGCTACTCCTCATTCCTCTCACTCCTTACTCGTAGCTACAACACATATTAAACACTACCCATGTATAACATCACACAAACACATGCAATCCCCCAACACACGATCAACCATCATCAATCATTTATTAATTCATCGTTAGAAACAAAAAAGTGAATCAAAGACCTCCAACTGAATAATGCACCCCTAGGTATAATGAAAAACAAATGTACTCCACCTCCCTCACTCCACAAGCTGCAAATAACGCTGCAAATATTCTCAAGCTTCAAGCTTCAAGCTTCAAGCTCCAAACTCCATCCCCTATCCTATCCTATCCAGCAAAACACCTATCTAGCTAGCATCATATACAAACATACACAATCCCATCTATCCATCATCTACAAAGCCTCTTTCCTCGTCCCCTATACTACGACTTCACCATTCTCTTCTTCGTAGCTGGCGTACCACTAGCAGTAGGGATACTAGTGGCAATCTTGCTCGGTCTCGGACTAGAACTTGTATGCGTCTTGACTCTCCCCTTCTTGTCCTTCGCTTCTGCCACTTTCCCCTTTTCCTCAGTTTTACTTTCATCTACAACTCTCTCACCACTCTTGTTGACCTTTCTACTTTCCATCGTCTTCTTTTCTTTCCTCTCCAAAGTTTGATACTGAGCAATTTGTTCCGCCCATACCACCGACTTCTTCGGTTTGCCTTGAGCTTTCTTTTCTCTCCTGAGTTTCTCTTCAAACATCTCTTTTAATTCTTTTTGCCTCTTGGCAGGATTTTCTTTTGCATCCGCCTTTCTCGCTAGAAGTACTTCTGGAAAAACAGCACCGGCTTTATTCTTCCTAGTATTAACACGAGTCAAAGCAGCCATTTCCTTCTCGACACTTTGCTTGAGAGTAACATTCGTATCATCCTGTCCACCGAGTCTTCGAACTGGAATGGAACTAGGTGCTGGAAGTGGGATTTTGAGGACAGGTGGCGTGTCCCTCCCACTGCGTCTGATAGATCTAGCTTCTGCATCTACTTCCTCTGTAGATGGTGGGGTTGTGGAACGACTCTTACGAGAAGGTGATGCTGTTTCTGGAATGCTAAGCTCAAAGTCACCCCTTGGCGCTTGAACTGGTGATGATGCTTCTGCATTCATGATATCTCCCAATGGAATTCGGAGAGGTGAATGTGGCAATGATTTTCTCTTTTTGAGAGCGGGCGCTGCAGCGTTTGCAGCTTTATCTGCCTTGACTCTAGTAAGGAATTGGCGAAGTATATCCGTATCATCGTTCTCGAATGAGGAGGTAGCATTTATCGAGAAAGTGTCATCAGCTTCAGAGGTTGTGGCAAATGCTGCCGTGGATTCAGCTGGTGTGACACCTTGATTAGGTTCCTCAGGCTGGTTATCGGTGTGTAGACTATTGACCGGCATCAAATCAAAAGACTCGGGATCATCGATAGGTTCAGATTCTGCGACAATCTGCATTTCGTTGGTGTTGTTATTAAATGATTCATTCAAACCAGACAGTTCAAGACTGGCAGCATTGACAGTAGGTTCAAGTAATACTTCAGAAAGATCAGCCATAGAATCATCCATATCTTCGTCATCGGGAGTTCCTTCTTCTAATGGAGCCACGTGAGTCGTGCGGCTCTCATTGGCTGGTTGGATGTCTTCGAAGTCGCCGAAGGCTTGTTGTCGATGAACATTAGCCGGCAATTTATTCGATGAATTCTCATTGGGCGCTTGTGACTCAACACTTCTTGAATTCTCGTTGGAAGTGACGGATTGCTCAAGAAGTTCTTCAACGATGTTATTAATTTCTTTGACGGAAGTTAGCACTTCAGCATTTCTTGACTCTTCTTGGCATTCGACCATCTCTTCAGCCGCAGCATCTTGAACTGTATCTTGGACATCATGAAGTGCAGATTCCAGAATATCACCAGTGTTTTGCGAAGGCTTCAAGGGCGCGAGGTCTTGACTATCAGTCGTACGAGTGGTTGAAGTGATGACCTCTGCATTATCCACAGGGAGAAGCTCTTTGACGGCTGACTCAAGCTCCAGTCGATCACTTGAACGTGTACTTCGACGTGAGCTTGTTCTCTTTTGCTTGGCGCCTTTAGTAGTCTTTTGGGTAGGAATGTCCTGTGCTTGGATTTGCTCGCTCACTGGTTTTGCATGAAGAAGTTCGGTTTGGGGATCGGTAAGTGATGTATCCTGCTCCCTGATTGATCTTGCGATTGAGCTATGTGCTGTGTCTTGAGACTTGTCTTTTTCGGAGGATGCATTTTGTTTGGGGTCTACCTCCATAGCGCCCGCTTGACTTCCAACAGTTCCTTCTCCCAGAGAAGTAGAATTGAGTCCAGGATATGAGGTTCGTTTCTTGTCGTCTCTCGTCAGGGCCTTCTCAAGCACCTGAACCGGCTCTGAAACTCTTCCACGCATTGATCTTCGAAGGCTTTGTCTTTTTGGTGTTTTCTTCGGCGATTTTTCCAATCCTTGCATCGGTTCCATTCCCTTCTCCCCAGTAGCCATTTCGAAATCGAACACTAAAGAAGTGTGTCGCCTATGATGCTTCTCCTCGTCAAACCTTTTGAAATTTTCCAATGGCATCATCGACTTTCTCATGCTCTTCCTGGCTATCTTTCTCTTCCTAATCGGGCTACCGTTCACCTCCTTATCCTTCACTGGAGAGAGTGACAGCTCCATATTCAAAGCCTGACCCTTCTCACCCAACACCGTTTGCCTCGACGACTTCCTAGGCGTGATAACCAAATTCGCATTCGTCCTCTTCCTGGGCACCACCTGTAATTTATTGGGAGTACCCAACACATTCTTCCTCGGACTGGCACTACCCATCATCAAGTTTTCATCCCAAGTCTCCCTCTCATCTTTTCCCTCATGCCACTTCGCTCTCGAAATATCCTCTTTAATTCCAACCACCCTTGCCTTTTTCCTCGCTCCCGCGCCCTCTTTCTCTAGCTCCATAAACGCCTCATCATAATTCTCCTTGTTCTCTTGCCCACCACGTAGCCCACCTCTCTTCTTCCATATTTTCTGGCCGTGTAAACGCGGGGCGTGTGAGGTGACGGGTGCTCGTTCCCAGGCTTTTAATATTTTCCCCGAGGGCTGCGGTTCAAATGCATCTTTGTAAATTTCCCTTCTCTGTATTAGTTCGCGCCTTCATGGAATTGCATGGAGAGAAGAAAGACGCGCTCACCAATTCTCTCCTGTCTCAAATGATGTAGCCTCCATATTGAATAACCCTCTTCGGACGCGCATTCGCTGTCACACGATCCGATGCTGTATGGTGTATGTCGTAGTCGAATATCTCTTTGTTACAAATGAAACAATACAAGAAGAGTCCAGGATCAATATTCGCAGATTAGTGAATTCTAAGAATGTTTGTTCTTTAATGTCATGTCTCCCAGCTACCGAGCCGTAGGAGGTCCTTTAACTTGTGTTTTCATAATCAAAAAGACCTCCATCATGGTCCATGCTGATTGGCTTTTCGACCAGATGTAAACAAACCTGGACCCACATGTGACCTTGGGAAGCCCTCCCCACTAATCCAAAGACATACTAGCGTCTAAATTATTTAGAAGCACCGTGAATTTGACATCTGGAATCTCCAAGTGGGATTGATTGATCGAGTCCGTTTGCCCCTCACGCTCTCTATACATACTAGGTATACACAACCATTGTATTTACATTCAGCATGCCACCCAAAGGAGCCAGTACCGCCAAGGTACCAATGAGGTTACCTCCACTGCCCAAATTGAGGGTAAGAAGACCAAATCAAACCGACTCAAATCCATGTTTGGCCATTATGACTTCAGTTCTCAGTACGACCTCCCCCTCCTCCTCCTCCTCCCACGCACCAATTCCCGGGTCGCAGATACTAATTTTCTATTTGTAGCATGCTGGGCATCTTCCGGATATAACGTAGCTGGATGCCAGGCCTTAGAAACACAATTGAGAACCTGTATGGATGCGCCTGTATGTACACCCTCCCTCCATTCCCTAAAAAGCCCGTAAAAGCATTATGACAGTATACTAATACAATTCGCATGCAGAAAGCCGCAGCCCAGAAGAAGAACACAATCAATTACCATCTCTCACGGATGTATCCTAAGATTGTTGGACCGCGCAAGAAGAAATGAACGGATTAAAGATTTTTATGCCGTGGTGTTGAAAGCATGATGTATTCACATCAGGGAAATGATCATGAGAGGCATGTATGGGAGAGTGCATATAAAATGGCCTCATAGAATGAACACAAAATTCCACGCAGCACGAAATTATGTGGGAATGGGGTATGAAGGCAGACGTGCCTTGGCTCTATGTACTTGTATATATCAAGCATCACAATGGGTCGGTGCACACTTTGGGAGAAATCATGGCGCAAGGGAAGGACAATGCTATTTGAGATTCAAGATGTATTACCAGAAAATATTTCAAGTGGAAAGGTAATTGTAAGATGGTATCAAAGATGTGGTATTTCTATGTCATCCTACTAATTCATTCCCACCGCACCATGGTATATCTCCCCTTAGCTGTGAGGCTCTTGTTTCATAAACTAATCTTTCGCTATATGCTCTGTGAAGGCAATAAATGCGCCCTCTCCCATCGTCCTCCACCAATGCATAGGCACCATTCGCAAAGTACGCCAGCGCCAAATAACACCTTTGTGCAAGCAATAAACTGACTTCATATACCCACGCCGAGCCTTCCTTTATCATCATCGCAACGTTGTAATCATAACCCTCCCATCCATGAATGTTAATGTTGATATATCAAATAAACGATGAAAATTCATATCCATCAGTGCTTCCATCCCGCAAGAGTCATCACACCACTGTCAAAACTCCCCTCAACGCTCGCCCTCAACGCTCGCCGTCATTGCTTAAACAAAACAACTCAATTTCTCCAAGTTGCCCCGTGTTTTGGTATTGTGACTTTTGAGCCTCGCTCCATTCCTGAAATGCAATCTGAATGTCATCATCGGATTCAATAGTAACAAAATCACCATCTTCGTCACGATATCGTAATCTCATTGTTCCTCGAGCAATTGCGTTGGTTGAGAATCTTCCAACCTTAGCATCAATGCGATCAGTAAGAGATTGATAAGTGATGTTGAAAGCCACTACTAATGTAACATAGTTACCGTCACAATTGACCTTGACTTTGAGCTGTGTAGGTAATAGCATGTCACCTTCTGGCGAGAGTGACATTCCACCGCCATTACCACTCATCAGTGATGGTGGCAACCGGCTATCGAGCGCAGTTGTTGGTATTTGAGTAGTGTTGCTGCGAGTATAATTAGGCTGTGACACGCCCAGGCTTTGTGAACCATTGGAGTACTGTAATCCATTAGCGTACTGCGACGGGTGCTGCTGGTGCAGTTGACGTTCTCTCTGAACACCAGGCGATTGGGTGTTGGTCCTTACTGGCAATCCATTTGGTGAGTTGTTTTGGGATCTGGGAACACCAGCATCGTAAGCTGGATGTAGATGTGCAGGGATGCCAGGAACGGCGGGAACCTGTCCTTGCGGGGTGCTCAGAGCTCCATTCGGTAGACGACGAACACCTTGCTGAGCATTAATGTCAGGAGTGCTGTATGAGCGACTTCGCTGTTGTGCCGCCGCAGCCGCAGCCTGTGATGATGTAGCCATGGCAGGAAGTGATGGTCTCTGTGGCGTTCGACCATTCATCTGATAAGAGGGACCGCTGACTGAACCGTGGCTATCTCTTGATGGTGCACGAACAATGGCAGGTGCGGTGTAACGATTGCTATCCTCCCAAGGGCTCTGGCCTTGGGGTGTTGGCTGGCGAGGAAATTGAGAATTCTGAGGAAATTGAAACATCGTAGAAGATGTACTGGTTCGTGCAGAGGGTGCAGGTGACTCCCCAATAGGCGAGAAGTACGAGTCTCCCAATCTTTGGCCAGGGGATGGGAGCGAGCCAGACATTTGAGTCTGTAAACTGAGAGGTGGGGCTATATTTATGCCGACTGGAAAACGCGGGGGTAGTGCTCGTGCAATACCAGCTAAAGATGGGGCGTTACTCTCTCCGGTTGCGGATCTTGAGCGCAGGCTATTATTAGACGAATTTCGAGCCATGCTAGCGTTTGGAGGCATTCCAAAATTTGGGGGCATTCCAGAGTTTGGTGGGGATCCATATGCAGTGGTACCAGTGTAGTCTTCCTCTTCATCCTCATTCTCTTGTTGAGCGTAAGGGTTAGGCATTGATGCAATTTGATCACGCTCCCATTCAAAATCCCTTAGTGCTCCATCGGGACTAGTGCTTGTCTGCGATCCAATACTGGCATGTTCTTTCTTTTGTTTGTCGACGCCTTCATACCACTTTTTCATGGTCTCTTCGTTGGAAAATCTAATGATGAAATTCTCAACTCCTGGATCTCCCTTCCAGTATATCTGAACTGTGTAAGAACCTGGTGAATTGTCAGTGGAACAATCCTGGTACGTGGAAAGATGATAATCTCATACCTGGCTTAGCAGATGATACTACATCGGTCACGTTAGTCATGAAAATTCGACCCTTGAGCTGCAATTTAGCGTTCTTATCCTTTTCTTTAATTTTGTTCTTATCCTTTCGATCCTTCTTGTCTTTTTGATTTCCCATGAGTTTATCTTTAGACTTGTTTGGATTGACTTCCTTGCAACATAGAAGAATACGTTCAAATAGATATATAGTATACTGTTCAGGTTCGTAAGTTTTTGCCGAATTTTGTCTGGGGGAAAGAGGGAAATGCACCTCTTTCTGAACGTCACTCTTGCCAGTAACTACAGGGAAATGGCCATGCAAAATTAGGTCACCAAAATGATCGACTCTATGGTTCTTCCAGTCGTCGACACGGTCGCAGAGATCCAACAAAGCTTCACCTCTGAGTTCCCTATCAACTGCTGCATTTGCCTGATGAAGCACACGATTAGATGCTTCGATACCAAGAGTAAGGTCTTCTTTCGCCTCATCGCTGGCATTTGTTTTATCCCGGAGGTCCTATTCATTTAGCATTGGGTGCGTTCATAGTATAGGTCATCGCATACCTTTAATAAAGAGGATATTTCACCAAACGTTGCATGGGTTTCAAAAGAAATCCATCCAAAGTATTGAAATCCACGACGACAGGATGATCTGCCATGGTAATTTTGTCAAAGTTATCCTTCGCTATTGTTGCAGCTTTTCGCTGATTCGCAATAAATGGTTGGTATATGCCAAATGCCTCCTCATAATTCCTGAAGGGTAGTCCCCATTCTTGTTTGTCTACTGGTTGAGAATTTGTAGTCTCAATTTTGATGAGAAATCGGCGTTGAAAGTCGAGGATCGCATTGATGTTAAGAAATATATCGTGTACGACGTCGCCCGCAATAACACCCTTTTGCTCGATTGTCTTCTTTAGTTCGTGCAGGTTCTCCAAATCTTGGACGTATTTGCGTTCCGTGTCGACTAATTCCCGGACTACATGCTGCCTATAACTCATCTTAGAGCCAGGCGCAGTAGCAGACTCGTTGGTATCCTCGGCTTGGGATGTGAGAAGCAGGCCACGCTGTTCCGCCACATCAAGAACGATATTGATGACTTGGGTGACCTGTGCAAAGTGGTAAGTGGGGGATCTCATGACTACTGTTTCCAAAAAGTTGTGATTGAGATAACAAGAAGCGCAAACTATCGCGGGTTCACTTGAGCTCTAGAAGGGGACGCAGACCGTCTCCAGATTTCATCCCTAAATTTGTCTCTTGGTACATCCTTTGGTTCGTGTGAAGATAGCATGTGCCGCGCTCCTCATTAAAAGTCCATGGAATGCCCGCGTACAAAAGCACAATAGAGATAGACGTACCTTTACGAAACCAGTCGTGTCATCACCAAAAAGATCTGATAGAGCAAAAACATCGCCCGGGGGGATTTGTAAATCCTTCATGCAAGCCTCAACAAACTTGAACGCTGCCATCTTAGACTTCTTTGGTTCGGTCATCTTGTTGTCGGGTAATGGCAGAGGCTCTGCTGGTTGTAGGGTATTGTAGAGCGTTACTAATGGAGTTCCCTTTCGCAGACATCGCCAAAGTGAGGACACCGGGTCCATATCCTCCTCGGCTTCATCTTCATCGTCTGAATCAACGAAATGGCCGTTGAATCCAGGAACTTGTGCTAGTCGCTGTCGTAAATTGACGCATATTTGATATAATGATCTCGAGGCGTCGGCTCTTTGGTTGATGATATTGTTTGTCGCGATTACATTTCCGCCCTGTACTGGCATCGCCAGCGGGGCTGGAACCAGTGTCGCAGAAGTAGATAAAGAATTTAATGAAGTCGTAGAGGAAGTCGTAAAGGCAGTCGAGCCCGTGAGCTGCGACGATCGTGAATTATGGCTCATTGTTTGACTCAAACCGGATCCGTTGCCCTCGGCGCTTCTATTGTTGAATACAGGCGCTGTATTCGTTCTCAAAAGAGGTCCATGAGATTGAGACTGAGCCACACGAATGGCAACACCGCCAGATGACATGAAAGTTGAATGATCCAGATGATTGACGATGAATTAAATTGTGATAAGTTGTTTTAAAAATATCCCGCTTTTCCGCTTTAAGGGGAAGAATAAAATGTATATTGGACAATGTGAAATGTAACCGGGTTGAACTGCAGGTGGCAGGTGGATGGGGGGAGGTGGTCTGCTCGAGTCGAGTGCTACGGTGTGTGGTCCTGGCGGTCTTCTTTCGCAATACGTTTTCGTTGGAGGGTTGTTTCGGTGGGGAAGTGGATAAATTTGGGATTGTGGATGGATGGATTTCAAGTTTGTTGATTTGAATACATTTGATTGCGGGTCAACAATGGACACAAGAGGGCTTAGTAACTGATTTGTACCGTTCTGCTCGATTTGTGTCTGTGAAATTGTGAATGGTGTATCGTGAGTCGTGGAATCGTGAATCATGTATCATGGACCATGTATCATGGATTCTGTTCCTCCTTTTGGGGGGGGGGGTATATATTTTCTTTTCGATCTTGGGGGGAGGGGAGGGACGGGGGTTGCTGGGTGTTAGTAAAGGTTTGAAGGAGTCTGAGTCTGAGTCGAATGAAGGACGTATGTATGTATGAAAGTCGTGTGGAAGTGGATTCGAATTGGGTTGTATGGGTGTGTAAGAGAAGGAAGAGAAGGGGGGGGGAGGGTCGTGTTTGATTTGAATCTTGTCTCAGGAGTGTTGCTTCGCCATGGATTAAGTTATGCGCTAAGGTGCTTAAACCATAACAATCAATAAGAGAGTTTTTGGCAAGAGATGGATAAGGAAAATGGAAGGGCTCGGGAAGGGTTAATGGAAGGCAGATTTAAAGATCTAGAAACGGCTTCAAAGTTAGAGGAAATGGGATTGTTTAAGTTGCAGGTGGTTGTCGATAGTAATCATAATATTCATCTACCAGTTCTTCATTCCCGCCTAGGTACCGGCGGCAAGTAGACACCTAGTACTATTTGTTGGATTTGATTGTTGGTAGCGAACCGCCAACGTCAATCAGATAACGGCGAGAATGGTATTGATGTTATTACCTAATGTTGGAAGGAAATATAACATACTACTATTATGACCTACCTAGTACCCATCTAGTATATCCAATACCTAGGTAGGTAGGTATCTTCTGAAACTGGATATCATTTCATCTTCTTCCTCATACACTTAAATACATACCCATTCTTGGGCTCTTGTATAGTTTGTTGTTTACTTCCAAACAGAGAGAACTCATCATTTCCGGTGTATAAACAATGACCATTAAGATCTTCCATTTCATAATCTAATATAGGTATCCCCAAATACTGATCCATTGCCTATTACATGTTATATATTACATATTACATGTTATATATTACATATTACATATTACATACAACCATATGCTTCCCTATCACATCATCTTAATTGAGCCTCCTTCCTTCCCTGCCTTATCGAATCTAAATTTAAATTTGTACTGTCGGTCATTCAATAGAATCTCAAACATACCTAGGTAATGTTTCAACTCGAAAGTTTTCACCACTTCCAGGTTGTATTTGATCATCAGATAAAGTTTCATTGCCGACTTAGGGAAAGTAAATAGAACACATGACGATTCCTTCTACAGTTCTACTCCCGCAGTATCATTGACATCAATATCAATATCAATATAAATATCCACATCCACATCCGTACCGGGACTCCACCGGGGATCGGTTGAAATATCACGGCGAAATCTTCTTTCCTCAATGTACTCCGTACGTAGCCTCGAGGAGCCCAGACCGGTACTATGGGAAAGAGGCGATTTGCAATACATACCTACCTAGTACTTGCCCAGTACCCAGCAACTCCGTACAGTAATTTCAAGCGACACCGTTACCGTTGCTAGGAATGAATGCCTCAACTCTATTTCGGCCGAGTTCTCAAAGGCGATGCGATGCAAATATTTACTTTCGGTGCGCAACGCTTCCAAGGCAGACTAGAGGAATCCCTAGGAAAGTTAATGTTGATAAATTGTAACATCTTACTTGCATACTCCGTGTACCTACCCAGTAGGTAGTCGCCTAGTAGGTGGTCGATCAACTAATCTGAGCCCTTAGAATCGCTAAAATCTTCCTGTTGTTTTCATTATCCTTTAACCTTTCAATAGTGTACTCTCCCGAAAAAGGCTTCCTTCTATCTTTTTTTCCCTTTCCTGTTTACCTTTGCCCTTGTCCATCTCCCATCTTCCTTCCCTCGATATGTATCTCATCGGTCACCTCTCTTTCTTTACTTCATATCATTTGATGATCAAAGGAGTTAACCCGGAATCCAAACAAGTCTACCGGTGAGTAGTATCCAGGTAGGTACATAGGTAGGTAGACTCCGAACTCTAAGTATACTATCTCCGGGGGGAGATCGATCCTTCATTCCTTCTCTTTTCTTGCCTCACAGCTTCCCCATCGATACAGGTCACTCATCATCATCATCAATCATCATTTATCCCTCCATTTGGTCATCTATTTGACCGAAGCTGACTCCGACACATACCGTTCACACACTTGGTCCTAGTCCAGACTTTCTAGTAAGCATATACAAAACCCTAAGTAATACCAAGTGTCCCGATTTCATCGAGACTCTCGCCTTCAGATCTCTTTTCGAACACCCAACAGAGATCTACCCGTACCTAGGACATATAAATGAAAAATTGTCTGGGAACTGATCAAAGACTGCCACTACATGGGGAATAAAATAGAGCCATGTGCTTACGATAGGTATGTGAAGCTGCAGGCATGTTCTGGAAGCTTTTATTTCGAATCATGATCTAAATGCTCGTGACGAAATCAAATATATAGTACTCCGCACTCCAGCTGCTATTTTGGTACCGTTCGAATATCAACTTAAGCTTGTAAAATAGTCGGTCCCTTAGCAGGTCCTTAGCAGGTAGTGGGAATCTGGGAATTTCCTTTTATGGAAAGAAAAGGAAAGATGGCAAACCTTGAAAGCCCTTGATCAAGTCTTGACTCCGCGAAGTGCTAATAAATTTCTCCAGCCTTGTTGCTTTTAGCGTATTTTATTACATATCTACCAGGTACTGTCCGTAGGTATCTTAGTTTGCGTGTGATCCGTGCCGGAACCCAATGTGCATACAGCGTACCATCAATGCCTCCATTGTAAACAAAAAAAAACGTAGGTGATTACTACGACATCTTTTGATTTAGAAATAAACTCATATATGATATGATCTGATTAGAGGCTCACATTCCGTCGAGTTCACTTTCAATATATTCTCAAAGTTTCAAGTCAAATATACCAAATCATCGTTACAACGTCTGAAGTTCCCAGATTCCCAGATTCCCCGGTTCCTAGGTTCCAAGTCACTCACTCCATCATGTCCAACTCTCTTCGGAGGTCTCCTCTTGATGAAGGGTATAGCGAACATCCTTTGACTGTTGTTAATCAACCAAAATTCGAGGAGTTGCCTTCATGGCTTGCGGAGATGTCTACTGAAGATCGCGCAGGTAAGGAACAATCGCATCATCATTCTGAGCAACTCATTTCTACTTTCTCATGAGATTCTTGATACTCTCCGTCTCTCACAACTAACCCTTTGCAGAATGCATTTTAGATATCATGAGCAAATTGCCCACGTCAGAAGTATGGGATATAGTTGGACGACTTAAACCACGGCTCAAAATGGATTTCTCCCTCCACTTACCCTCAGAGATATGTTTGAGAATTCTCGGCTTCCTTGATCCAGTATCACTAATCCGAACCGCCCGCGCCTCGCGACATTGGCAAATGCTATGCTTCGACCGAAAGTTATGGGAGCAATTGTATATACGAGATGGTTTTAGAGTTATTCATTCGGAAGTTACCAAGTTCGAGTTCCCCAGTGGACAATCACGATGGTGGAATCCAAGAACTAGCTTCGAGCTCAATCCTTCAGTTGAGCGCAGAACGAGAGGCAACATACAACAGATATTGCCAAACCCGGATGGCGATGATGATAATCGAGGATCGAATATGATGAAACAGACGTCAATATTTGGTCCGGCAAGCACAAGGGATATGAGGCAGAGTCCCTTTGCTGAAGACTCGATCATGATGGATGCACCAATATTATCGGCTGATAGTGATAAGGACCGGACATCATATTTTGGCACAGATGGGGGTGTCGCTCAATGGAAAGGAAAGGGAATTTCCCTTCCTAGACAAGGACATGAATTAGCGATTGTGGATCGAAGTAGCGGAGAAGAGAAACTCAATTGGCATTATCTCTATACACAGAGAAGACGCCTAGAAGCGAACTGGGAAGCTGGCAAATTTACCAACTTTCAATTACCACACCCTCACTATCCCGAGGAAGGCCACACAGAATGTATCTACACCATTCAGCACACTCAAAATTATCTAGTCAGTGGTAGTCGTGATAAAACTATACGGATCTGGAACTTAGACACAAGACGTCTTGCTCTTCCCCCATTGGCAGAACATGGGGGGTCTGTACTCTGTCTCCAGTTCGACCCGGATCCCGAAGAGGATATAATTGTTTCTGGTAGCAGTGATGCTACTGTCATTATTTGGCGATTTTCTACGGGTAAGGTAATACAGAGATTGACATCGGCACATAGAGAATCGGTCCTGAACGTCAAATTTGACAAAAATGTGCTGGTCACCTGTTCGAAAGACAAAACCATCAAAGTTTTTAATCGACGATCTATCAGCGAGCAAAGTCTCATGAATGATACAGCTTCGATTCAAATACAAAACCTTGGCTTTGAAAACAACCCTGTAGGATGGAGAATTATACCACCATACACAAATATTAGCAAGCTAAAGGGTCATGGAGCGGCTGTTAATGCCGTTCAAGTATTGGGTGATGAAGTCGTGTCTGCTTCAGGTGATCGAACCGTAAAAATCTGGAACTGGAGAAAGAACACTTGCACTCGAACTCTGATTGGGCACAGCAAGGGAATTGCATGTGTTCAATACGATGGGCGTCGAATAGTGAGCGGGAGCAGTGATAATGAGGTTAAAGTCTTCGACAGAGAATCCGGTCTCGAAGTAGCCAGCCTCAGAGGTCATACCAACCTAGTAAGAACTGTTCAAGCCGGATTTGGCGATTTGCCATACAGTGCAGAAGAAGAAAGAGAGGATGCAAAGAGAATTGACAGGGAATATTTCAAGGCTGTGAATGGTGGGGTCGTCGATCAAACGTATCAATCAAGTCGTCTAAAGAATGCTGGATCCTCAAGACCAGAAGATATCACTGCTTTTGGTGCTAAGTTACCACCAGGCGGAGGAGGCTGTAAGTACAGCCGTATCGTCTCTGGATCTTATGACGAGTCGATTCATATATGGCGGAGAGATAAAGAAGGTGTCTGGAAGCCTCAACATACCCTTCGACAAGAAGAAGGGTCCCGGGCTGCAATTAGAATGTGGGCCAGAACACCTAGAAAACCCAACACGAACCCAGCATGGCTCATGAGGGCCACTTCAACGGTGTCTGACTCATCAAATAATGAGGTCCCGTTGCCTGATATGACAAACCTCTCTCCAGAAATCCAGATTGACAGCGCGATTGCTTCTGGTGCAAACGGCCTACTCGAGACACTCAATAAGTACCCAGAATTATTGAACAATGAATATTTGAGACTGGCCATCGCTCGTTCACCAGAACACACAAGAAACTTGATGAGTCAAGTCCTCATTGCAGCTTTGCAAGCAAAAGGTTACGATACGCGTGGTTTGTACGCTTCATTACAGAACGATGCATTCACGACTGCAGTACCATCGGTACCAAATCCTTCGGGAATACCCAATATTGGAGTAACTCTAGGTAGTCCTGCTCATCACCCAATACAAAATCCACATCCACAGCATGCTCGTGTATTCAAACTTCAATTTGATGCTCGCAGAATCATTTGCTGTAGTCAAACACCCACGATTGTTGGATGGGATTTTGCAAATGGTGATAAAGATATTATTGAAGCAAGTCGATTCTTTGCTCCTATGGAGTAGTCCAAAGAAAACACTCTTAGGGTGCAATTACAGCACTGCAAATGAGGCGTAGAGGGATTGGAAGCATTCATGTGGGGAATGGACTGGATCGGGGCGTTTCATAGGAGGCGGTAGGTGAATGGCTATAATGTATGGATGATAATCTTAACGAGGCATTGAATTTTATGGGATCGGCGTTGCATTTAACGTTGGGCATTGAAGTTTATGTATGCATTGGGGATGACGAGACTGCTCATCATGGGGCGATAGAGTAGGGTGTCTTAAATTGTCTGGACATAAATCATGTTGTGTATATTATCGATATTGGACAATGGTACCTTGATTTTGTATACTGGGTATCTGGTTGGATGAGAATGCATATTGATTTCTTCTCTTTTTGACATTTGAATTTGTCTGGTTGATGCAGTGCAGTGCAGTGCAGTGGATACTTGGGAGAGGGTGTATGATGTTATGATAAGATGTGATATCATATGGTCCAAGGTGAATTATTATTATATCACGGAGGTAATAGCTATGTCTAATGGTCACTTTGATCAGGAGATAGGTATATAGAGTGATAATAAACTAGATTGACTTGAGGTGTGATCATAAGGATCATACCTGCTTTATATACCCTGATCAGGCGATGGAGTCGCCTAATTAGGTATATAGGGTGTGACACTTTGCCTTAGAAGAACTGCGAGAACAGAGTACAATTTATCCTTAGAATCTACAACTACAGAATCGGGAGCAAAGCGCTCGTAGAGCACTCCTATATACTAGCTATATACATATGATCATGCACATGCGCAAGCGTGCACATGAGCGATCGCAGCTGCGATTGGGTGCGATCCGTGATACTACTCCCCCTTTCGAAAAAGCTTGCCTTCAAGCTTTACAATTATCTAATCTATAGATACATCGGCGATCCTAATGAGGTGTTGTTATTTACATTATAGTATAGCATGGTAAACAGGTGTGTGCGCAAATTTTGCTTTTTTCGTAACGGGAAGGCATATAGGAAATGGAGGAAACTGTCCTGTAGTCTAGTAATAGTGTGAAGTCTTTGAAATATATAAATCGCCCGAATTTCCCTCTTTCTTCTAAATCTTTTCCGGTTACTTATCTTCTTTGTATCCCTTAATCAATAATCAATATGCCTTCCATACTATCAAGAAAACACAGCAGTAAGAGCAAGTTATTACTAGTACAGCTGAAGTAGCGAAAGGATACATATATGGCAGTGAGTTGTTTATTTTTCTTTTGCATTTGCTTTACTGATATACTTCTTTACAGCTTATGGCGAAGAGGATATCTACCTTTTCTATTGTACAAAGCAAGCGTCCTGTTAAAGAAGAGGAGGAGTCGAGTCACAACGGGAGTGGTAATAATCCTATCGGCAAAGAGGAGAATAATGAGGAAGATAGGTTGAACAACAAAGATGCATATAAGTGAGACTTTCTTTTAGTATCTTCGGCTTATAGTTGGCTTATTTAATAAATGTAATTACAGATACCGAAGGCAATGTACCTAAGGATAAGATCGATTTTTGATATGCTTATTGAATATATTTATTCTATTGTTTTTCGAGGCAGAATTTGGAGAAAGAATATAATCTCTTAATCGATTGTATTAACGATTACAAAAAGAAGTTCACTAACAAATTGATTGCAGCGGTATATCATTTTCGTAATTTCGAAAATAATGGTGAGATAGTTGAGAAAGACATTCTAGAGGTCTTATATCAAAATCAACTTAATCGCAAATTCGATATATCCTATTATAAAAGTATTGACTTTATTGATATCGATAAATGGGGATCTTTAAGTAAGAGATCATCAAAAAAGACAATACCACAATGGAAATAATGTATTTGGGAGGATGGTTGGGTTTGTGCTGACTGTGTATACAATTGTATTTCCGGTAAGGGAGATAGTGTCTGCTATCGACTTTCTGGATAATCATCTGGTCAATCTCGCTGTCTGCTTTATTTGGCTGGCAAGTATAAATGTAAGCGTTTACCTGATAGGAATATGCATAAGATGTTTTTTTGATACTAATCAGCTATTACTGAATATAGCAATATGATAGAGGTAAGTTATAACTTTGCTAGCTTTTAGTAAAATTAATTTTTGAGATAGCTTGACATATAGAAGAAGCTAAAGAATTGTATTTCAAAAGAAATGCTTTTTTTTATTCTTATTTGAGAAGCTACAAAGTGTTGTATAATGGAAGTTGTAGTATAGGGAGACGAATTGGAGTAGCAGTACCAGCTTGTTCTAATTCAAATAGAAACAGAGCTTTCAGTAGCTTGCAAGTGGTTAGGTGTAACTGAATGCAAACTTGGTTTTGTTATTGCATGTACTGCAGCTAACAATTGTTTTATCTTTCAGCTTGTAATTATCCTGTATATATTTATTATCACTATTAGCTGGGGACTTGACTAATATTTCAATTTAAACCATCCAGTTTTTACTATCATACCTCACCTAACCGTAACTATTGATACCTGTAGAGGCTTTCTTTCTAGCTTGATTTAAGTTTACCAGGTAAGAAAAAAAACTTTCTTTGTTGATATTTTATTTTTGTTCAATCACTTTTAGCCTTTTGTGTAATTAGAATTTTCTTTATCATAATAATAAATTAAAGAAGTTCTTTCTGTCTTTTTTATTTATATATTGATTGTTATCTGTGAAATCGTAATTATTCTTTTTACTTTTGTAGAGACGAATCCATTTTGATAAGTGCACAGGGGGTTCTAACAGAATGGGATTTTGTAGGTGAAAGTTATAGAAATAGTGCAAAGCAGTTTTTAAGTTAGAGGCGGGGTACCAGGTAAGATTGTTATTGGCGTTTAGCTATGATACTCTATACTTAAGCTATCAACATATTTTCTTTATAGTTAAAATACGCTTTATTTTTTATTCGATATTACCAGTAATATTTATTAAAGGCAGTAATTCGAGAATTTATCCGGAAAATGGATTGTTTGCTGCTTTGCAAAGTTTATTAGATGGAAATATAGAATGGACTTTTATAATAAGCAATAAATCTAATCGGAAGGAATCTCCAATCCGATTAATGATTTTGAATCTACCTTGAATAAGGTAATCCAGTTTTTTGAATAATTATTATATCGGAAAGTCCCTTATATTGAACTATATGTAATCTTTTATATTGAAATCGATTGAATAGTAATACAAATTAGCCAATTGAAATATCTTTTTTTGTGCATGCAAGATATTTTCTTTTGTTTGATCGAATACTAGTTTATTGTATTTGGTATACTCTTTAGTATTGATTATATTCAAATCATCAACAAGTGCGGTGAAGTTGAGTTTCTAATCCCAGGGATTGTGGGGTAGGTAGCTATATAAGGTCTTATACAGAATTTGATTATCTAGTGATTTATAGGGAAGTGTAAATTAAGTGTAATTCATTATTGATAGGAATTCAGATTAATTATTTTGATAATAGCTTATAAAGAGTTACAAGTATTATTGGAGATATTGATTATAAATCTCAGTTTGACTATTAGTTTGCAGGTAATAAACAATAGATAACTTGATTTGTATTTCTAAGATATTATTGAATTCTTGCTAGAATTTGGATATGAATTGAGGATTATGATTAGAGATTATAGTCTCCGGGGCATTGTAGTATCTGTATATATGGTATAGGTACAAGCAAGCCTGATCTCTCGAATCAATTGATTTATGATAGGGTATTGAAATAGCTTGTTTAGTTAATCAATTGATAATAACGAATATATTGTTATAATTGTATTTATCTTTATTGAAATTGTAATAATTTATAGTAACGTATTGCTATACTCGTGTAGGGATCGGGAGCAGATAGAGGAGATTGGGAATGTGATTTTTTGGTATAGAGCTATGCTTGTATTTGTAGTAATTCTGTATATATTGATTGATTATATTATTTATATTCTTTTAATAATATTAATTAGCTAAAAAAATATAAATCTTTTTAACACTAAGGTATATAGTGGAGACTAAATCATAAACTTTGTGAATCAAATAGATTTGTAGATTTTCGGTATCCGGTATATAAAGTTGATTGTTATAAAGCAAAAATTCTTTTTCGAATATAAGATACTTATATAATTTGATAGTCTGAATGTGTAGAGCTTCTAAACTTGAATAGAATTTATTTGCTTTAATAATACAATTTATGATATCGAAAAGCAATGTGATTGTATGTATATTGATATTTATAATTATATCCGGATCTTGCTGCAGAGATTCGCGTATGATTTTTGTGTCCATCTGATTATCTTTTATAAGCTGCTGAAGATAATTCTTCTTCTTAGTATTATTCTGTTAATCCAATTTGTTAGTGTGGTGTGTAAATGTATTTACAAATGGATTGTTCTTTCTAGTATGGTATATAATGATAAAGTTATAATCAGCGAATAATTCTGCTTAATATATTTATTAAGCATTTAGCTGTTTAATTGATATAAAATATTCAAACACTTTATAATCAATGTATATTTTGATCTGGTATAAGGATTCGGCAAGTTCGGCTTTCCAGTAATCTAGGGATTTAATGATTGCAAGCATTTCTTTATCATGAACTTTATAGTTTAGCTTGGCAACGATTATCATTTTCAAAAAATAAGCAACTAATAACTATTTATCGCTATGCTTCTGAAATAGCATATTAGTGATTATATTATCGGATACATTGGTTTCTAATATATAAAATAGTGTATAGTTGTAATGTTATAGAAGAAAAGTGGAGATGAGTCTGTCTTTGAATATATTAAATATAATTTGACAGATTTTATTGAAATGGAATTTGATATTTGCTTTTATAAATTTATGAAGAGATTTTGCTATTATACTGTAATCCTTAATAAATCGATAATAAAAGTTACAAAAACCTAAGAACAATTGGATACTCTTTACAGTAGTGGGGTAAGTCCAAATAGCAACTACTTTAATCTTTTCTGGATTGACTTATACACTGTTTATAAAGATAATAAAATCTAAATACTTTATACATTTGATATTGAATTTATATTTCTTGAAATTTACCTAAAGACTAGCGGATTTAAGTTATTTGAGGATATACTTGATATATTCCTTATATTTATCTTTGTTTTCAGAATATATAAAAATATTATTGAGGTAAGCAGTATAGAAGTTATTTAAATAGTTAAATAAAACATTATTTATATATTATTAATAAATTACAGGGCTGTTTATTAGTCTAAAAGATAAAACTTTGTATTTGTAGGAATTATATTGAATACAGAAGGTAGTATATTTTTCGGAAACTGGATTCATATAGATATGATAAAATACTTATCGAATATCTAATTTGGTATATACTTTTGTATTAGTAAGTCGTATAAGTATTTTGTTAATGAAAGGTAAAGGGTACCTGTTTTTGTATATTAAAGAATTAAATAGTTGGAAATCTATATAGAATCTTAAGCTTCCATTCGGCTTTTTCATAAAAAAAATCAACACTGCAAACAATATTTAACTGGATTCTAT